AACTCCAGCAACAAGTGCAAACTTTAAATGAAGAATGTGACTATCACAAAAGCAAATATTTTTCACTTGAAAAATACCGAGATGATGATAAAGCCATCAAGTTTTATACGTCGTTTGAAAATTACAATGCATTATTAGCATTCTATAGACATCTTGAGCCTAAAGTAAAGAACTTGCAATATTGGAAAGGAGAAAAAAAATTAAAGCAATCTTCAAATTATCAAGAAAATGAAAACTTTACAAAACCTGGTCCCAACAGAAAGCTTGATGGTTTGAATGAACTATTCATGGTCCTTGTTAGGTTGAGAGTTGGGTTGTTTTTGCATGATCTTGCTGATAGATTTGGAGTCAGCAAGGCATCAGTTTCAAGCATATGTAACACCTGGATTACATTCTTAAGTCTGGAACTGAAACTTTTGTTCCCTTTCCCTCCTAAAGAGCTTGTGAGAAGAAATATGCCTGCAGAGTTTCACAAATATCCAACCACTRGAGTRGTGKTAGACTGTACAGAAGTGTTTATAGAAAAGCCATCAGCACTGATTGCACAATCCCAAACATGGTCTCAATACAAACATCATAATACCTGGAAACTTTTAGTAGGTGTATCTCCCAATGGACAGGTGACCTACGTAAGTGAGCCTCGGGCTGGTAAAGCCAGTGATAAACAGATCACCAAAGAATGTGGTATTTTAGATCTGGTTGAGCCAGGAGATAACATAATGGTTGATCGAGGCGTCGAGATTGATGACATTGTACCTTTGGGAGTATGGGTAAACATGCCACCATTTTTTGGTGGTAGGAGTCAAATGTCAGCAAGTGAAACAGAAATCGATTTTCCTTTGTAAGTTGCAATAGTGATTATTCGTTCCGCAATGCTGACATTGCACGTTAACGTGCAGTAACCAAGGTGTGAATTGTTACGAATCCTATTGTTCGTAACAACACTATATAAAGAGAGTGCAGTTTTTAGTAAGTCATTCCAGGTTAATGCTAATCAAACAGTATACTTGTTGCTTACGCTAAAGATTTTTATCGACTTACGAAATGCCTCCCCGTTGACGAGAGAGAGGAAGACTCTGGAGACGGCACACGCGAAGAAATCGGCGATCCCATGGAAAGCAGGCAAGAGGCCAGCAATTTAGAAAGAGTATTCGACAAGTTTAAAACTTACATCGAACAACGCTTAGAGACATTTTCTAGTTCAAGCACTACGACAAACAAGAAAGAACAAGGGCCCGATGGAGAGACTAAAAYCTTCAAAAGGGAAACAGAAGCCAACAAACTCAAATACAAGGGAAATCAGAAACAATTCCTGTTCAATGCCAAATTAGAAGACCATACAGAATATGCTCTAAATCTTCTGAAGAAAGACGATTACGAAGGTTCAAAGAAGGCCTTAAAAAGCTTGATCGGCCTTATTCAGAATAGGCAAAAATTGATCAAGTTAGCAGACAACAGCGAGGGAGGTTGGCTAGTTGTAGAAGAGTATGAAGAGGAATTAGCGGACGACTCAGATGATGAAGAAAGGATATGCAAGGCTCAAGCACAAGCCATAAAGAGGAAAAAGAAGCTGAACACAAATTATATCCAGGCTGGAAAACGCCCTAAAGTCGAGTGAAGCCAAGAACATAAAAAAAGATGATATATTCAAGATGGCGGACGCACGTGTGTGTCTAGCTCTGCTATTAAGTTTGCTTTCACTGGCCTCTTTTGCCTTTGGAGTCGACACAAATAGACCTGTCCAGCACATAACACCGTTCTTTTCACGTCCTATAACTATTCATCGCCGAATTCCTGGCCCACTTCGACGTGAACATGTGAACTGGACGAAGCATGGTTGCACCTGCTACTCGTTACCTGATTTCCATCGGAGCATTGACTTGACCATCCACATGGACATCTCTCCAAAT